TGTAGCCCTTAATCTCTATTAGCGTTGCCTTCGTGTACATATCATAGGCGAATTGCTGTGGGGATCGATTGGAGGCGCATAATTGCTCCACGTCTGACTCATAGCTGGACACCAGCTTAGCGAACAGCGATTGGGTGGCATTATTTTCGGCTTCACCGTAAATGTAAGTATGCAGCATCTCCAGTAAGTAGCCAATAGAGCTGGGCCCCGGTTTAACCGTCCACTCGGCAAAGTTACGCAATGTATAGGGATTCACATTATCCTTGTATTTATTATAGTCAATCATATCCCGATAGCGTTGTAGAATGCTTCTGGTTATATCGCCCACATAGGTCATCTTGTGGGTTAGCTCAGACTCGGCGTGAAATTCACGTTTCAGCGTCTCAATTGTCATGGTAAAATATTCCGCCTGTTTTTCCTCCAAATTACTTATCTGATTGTTGACCTGTTCAATGGAGCTCATTATTTGACGCTGATTTTCATTCATTAGCGGTATATCATTGCTGTTGCCCAAGGGCAGATCTTCTATAAGATTCCAGGCCTTAAGTAGGCTGCTCGACAACTCGTGTATTAGTTTGATTATGTCCACCGTGTCGGCCACTATATTGGAGCTGGCCACTCTCTCGACAGACATTATCTCAAATAGTCTCAAAATCAAAAACAGCATCCCTGTGCCAAAATGTAGTCGCATTTCGATGTGGTTTTCTCAGTGCTGAAAATTATTTCATTATAGTTTTCTGCCTAGTAAGCGCGTTTTTTTCTGTATGGACATACACACATGTCAGTGTATAAAATTACTTACTTGAATTGCAGCCAATAAAAATATGTTTATGTTATTTTTGTTTATTCACAAAGTGCCGCCTTAACGCTCACGTCCGATCTGTTCGCTGGACTTTCTGGCTTTGATACTGAGCAAATGCAATGCAAACTTATATGTATGTATCATTGAGTAATAACACTAACCAAACAAACAGTATTTGAGAAAAATTGAAGTTGTGCGCAGTTTTGCTTGTCGGACACATACATTTAAACGATTCCTAAACAAAAGGAGAGAGCATTGAGAGCTGAGAGTAATTGCGAGCGAGTTAAAAATTAACAGCGTTGCCCTTCTGTCGCACAAATCATATGGAAGAGAGTGGGCCAAGCACTTTCCTGTAGAGTAACTCACTTACTCGCGATTTTGGACCAGATGTCACTGATACTTTTTGTGCCAACGTTTCTTTTATGTGATGTCCAGTCTATATGTTGTTTGCTTAGTGGTTAGTGGTATCATTGAGTAATAAAGAGCCATAAAGCCATGGCATTCAGATCATAGGGTTTCGCGCCCGACATCATATATTATGAAGTCACAATTTATAGAATTTTATTTCTTGTGTATATATTTCTACCTTTATTACGTACATTTAAATAACTTATGAATATGGTCTTTTATAGACAATAATATGTTGACATAGGTTATAATATTATCTACGAAATGATCGCACTTAAAAAGCCTTGGACTGTGACGTCACATGCGCAACAGAACGTTGCAATCTTCTTAAATTCATAAGCTTTCCTTGGCTTGGCAGACACAACTATTTGGCGGGTCGCGGCTTTGATGCTCTTTTTTATAAGAATGATATATAATTTATAAAAAAAAAACACTTATTATTGACTGTACTAATTGTTGCACACTAAATACAAAATTATATTTTATATAGATATTAAATAAAAATGTATGTATTAGATGGTTTGGTATATTTGGTTATATTGCTTATGAAAAGTTAAAATACAGAAGCTAAGATCGTATGCCTCATAGGTCTCATAGCCTCAAACCAAAAAGGGGTAGCGTGGACAGAATTCTGGTGTGCGATTTGTTCGTTGTCGAGTCGTTTGTTTTGGTTATGGTTGTTGTTGGTTCTTATGGAACATATTCGGAAGTTGTCTTTGATTTTTTGGGCAACAGCAGTAGTAGCTGCTACATGTTGCGCTTGAAAGAAGTATTTCGAAAAAGGGCTCTTGATTCAAATATCTTTATACCATTAGTATATATTTATTGGTCAATGAACTTAAATCTTAAGGTATGCTGTCGAATCTCAATATTGGAAAAAAACTCAAAAAAAAAAAAATCAAAATAATAATCGATAATATTATATACGAATATATATACGCTTAAATAAGCTCACTTAATCAACAAATGCGAGTTGACGAAAATGCGCCAAAGTACACAAAGGTACAAAATAATAGTTTTGGATGCAATCGGAACAATGGAGCGCATACACTTTGCACAACAACAATAACAACAACGTAAATACAGAAGAACCCATAATACAAAAGACGTTTAAAGTTAAACGTTCGCCTTGATAATGATAAGAAATGGCTGCAAAACCATTAAAAGCATTCCCATTTTGGCTTAGATGAGTGCGAGAGGGCGAAGCGTCAGCGCTGACCAATGAAATAAAATGAGGGGAATCCCTCTTGAATGGCCGACCGCATCTGGTTGCAGCTGTTGGAATATTCCGTCTTAGACGTAACTGCTTGGATTATTTCAGTATAGCATTTGAAGAAATTTAATACTTTTAGTGCACAAAGCGAAAACTGTTGAATGGCATTGCGATAAAGCTGAAAAGCAAAGCACAATCACAAAGGTGATTGCAGTTTTTCCCTTTCAAAATGGAACACAAACTGAATGCCATGCCAAATGCAAAGAGACTAGCAAAAAACAGAATCGTAAGAGGTAAGCAAATGCCAAAAGATTTGTGTTAATGGATTTCACATTTAAAGAAATGAATTCCAAATGCAGTACAGAATTAAAAAATAGTTGCATTTTGCATGCTTATATAATAACTATGAACATGCGACAGACTGTGTATCATTACAAAATTGGTAGAAACCAACAGAATATTCATTATATGATTACCACGTGCAGGTTTTTAAAGTGTCGCACATATTGTACACGATTGTCATTTAACAGAAGCGATTGTTAATTTAAGATGATTCCTAAAACGGGCTGTAGACGACATTAGTCTGAGAACGTCTGGACTAGTGCATAAAACGGCAAATTATCTCAGTTTTGGCATATAAATGTAACATTTAACAATAAACACCTTTTTTTTGTGACTTGTCCCAAGCATAAAAACGTTTACTTAGCATAACTAAATGGTATATCATATATGTATTAATGGTCACCTAATTAGTCTGTTGACGAATCTTGTTTTTAAGGTTATGGCATCCTTTGGCAAGGGTATAACAACAGTGCCAATGCAAACGTCAATTAAGTGAAACAAAAGTCCTGTACACACACACCTACACACACACAGACGTGCACACACATGTGGGCAGCATAAAAACCGGCAAATGCAAATTGTTAATTAAAGGAATGCATTGTTTAATGTGCCCCTTGTGGGCCACACTCCAACACCTGCATCCGTATGCTCTTTCACCCGTCACCCGCCACCCGCCACCCAGCAACCAGTTCCAGTTCCCAACGCCCGCTCAATTACACGCACAAACTTTGCACAAAAACTTGCAAAGGGCAGCAATTGCAAATGGAGCCGCGACCCAGTTGTGTTGCCATCCGTTGGCGTTTTCCCATTATAGCGCCTAAATAGAGAAGCGCCATTGGGGGAGAGGGAAAATATGATTGCAGGCACGGCTCGGTTTTCTTTCTTTCCTTTATTTTTTTTTATTTTTTTTTTTTTTGTGCACGCCATCGAATCAGAGTTATGATGGCATCTCCATGGTCCTGCTGATGATGACAATGTCAGCTTGGTGGCTTGGCTTGACTTGGGTTGTCTTGCCTCTGCAATGAACGACTTTTTCGATGGGAATAATTTATAATTTGATTAGCACATCGCTGACTGCACACGGCAAAGAGCAGAGCAGCCGAGCACCGGGGCGTAAATGGAGGCGTTCAAAAGTAAAACGGAAGTGCATCTGAGCGCATTGAGGCTACCAAAAAGGCATCGTCCATTCTAAGCCTTATCTCATCTACCTATTGAACATGCAAATGCTGGTAAGGGGGAATCACACTCCGTTAACCTCCTGCCAACATAGACAATGACAAATGATGATGAAGTGGCGCCCAGCCCGCTCCAAATAAAAGGTTTGAGACACGGACACTGTGTCTGGCACTCGCCTAAAGTTTAGCTTTAGCATTCAATTAATATTACAAGTGGCGTTTTTATTGGCACCACAAAAAACAAAGGCCTTTGTGCTATAGGGCCATGATAATCAATTTGTATTTGTGTTGTTGTCTCTGTGTGTGTGTGTGTGTCTGAGTGTGTGGGAGGATCAGAACAACAAACAAAGTGAATTTGCAAGTTTCACGAAATAAAAACATAAAACAAAAAAATACGACAATTTTCAGCCGGTCGAAGATAAAATACCCTTGTCATTTGAAAGTGGAGAAGCTGGAAATTGCATCGGTGAAGATAACTTCAAAAACAAACCGATAGTTCCTTTAATACAATATGATATAGTAGTAGATCTTGTTAAGAATTTGTTTGTATGTGTAGCATAGTGTAACTATGTCAGGTTTGTTTAAGATACCATATTAAAAACCGAAATATTCTCCATACAAGAACATCAATCCTATGCCAGATACACGATATAGTGATCCGATCCAAACTGCTCCGATATATAGACTTTTATATACAGCAGGAATAAATATACCTAATGGATTCGGAAATCTTTCTTTCTATGCCACATTTCATGACCAATTCATAATACCCTCTACAAGGGTATAAAAAGAAAGGCAAACACAGCTAGAAAAGCAAGGCTCATACACTTAAAGGATTCGCCGCTCAAGAAACGCCCCCATTGAAATTTCTCATTCATTCATTAAACAATAAACAGAAAATTCTGCTAAAGGCGTGGCATCTTTGGGGCTGAACAAAATAGATTAATGGCCGCAAACAAAGCTGACAAAATCAATTTATTATACTGCAGACAGTTGACCGCATAAAATAAATATTTTGTGCAGACATTTGGAGGCATTCAAGCAATGCGAAAAGTTAATATTCAAATTACATTCATTCATGCATATTTCAGTTAATTTAACAGGCAGCATTTTGGAGTGAGTGCTTTTCCGCCCAACTAACACTTAAAAGTGTTGCCTGTTGCCTAACTGAAAAACAATTTATTGCAACTAAGTATCTATGGTAAAATCAACACCATGCCCAGGGGCGTGCAGCGATATCGATATTTTTTGGCGTTCATATTCCGATTTAGCTGTTTCACCTCCAAACGCTCCTGTATAAATTCTCGTTCGTAAAGCTCACGCATGCGTTTCTGTCGCGTTTTAGTGATCAGCGCCTGAGCCGTCTTAAGCTCGAAGCCGATGGGTTTCAGGAGGTTGTTGACAACGGAACTGCCGCTGGCGACTGTCGTAAAATCCCGCTTGGCAATCAATGTGAGACTGTGTAGCATGATACGGGCATATATTTTTATGGTGTGATAATGGTATTTGTTTATTGATAACTTACAAATTAGGTGCCATTCGTAGAAATCAAATATACCAAAAGAAACACTAGAAAAGTGCACAAAAACGAATGCACAATAATTAACAAAGAAAGAAACAATAAAAATAATAAAGTTTAAATATACAGAAACTTAAAAATCTAAGTTACATTTTCAACTGAATTTTCATTTGAATTTTCAACTAATTTATGTCTTAATTTGGCCATTTTCAATATGCAATTAAAGTGCTTGTCTGTTTTATCATCTGTCGTTAATGTCAAGCCATGCCAATAATCATGGCGTTAATTAACTGAATGAAATTGCCCTTTGATTGGGCAACGAGATGGCTTGGGACGTGGAGGACCACACGAGTGTTTGAGGCCGGAAGGAAGCCGTTGAACATGGGCGTAGAGTAAGTACTTAGCCGTGTTTGTCAGCTCCATTAAAGGTCAGCAGCCACAAGCAAACAGACAGATGAGGATTGGCCTATATGTCCGATCCGATTACAAACGCTTCAATCAATTACGAGTGCGATTTTTAATCACAAGCACACAAATCGCAATAAAATTTATTAGATACGTAGTTCAAGTCGAGTGGGCAAACGGTGAATGATGACAGCCACTTGTAATTATCCAATGCCCTTAAGAAACAATTCGGAGTTTTCATTAGTCTATTAGAGCACAGATATGTAACTAAGGGACTCGCAATTGCAGCTCCCGGCTAAACAACTTCTTTCAGCTTTTATTATACCCTGAACCCAGTCAAAATGGCTAAATAGGGTATGACATGCGAATGTATGAACAGACAAACAATGTTTCTTTGGCCACATAAAGTGTATTTATTTTCGATCAGGACGACGAATTGAGTAAATCTAGCCAAATTTTTGTGAACGCGTCAAATTTGAAATATATGCTCCATACTATTCGCCAGATTTTATGATTATTTTTCTTAACATTTCCGCTCGTTTTCATTATATGGATAAATATTGAATTTGGCATGTTTATTCTCGTATATTTCGTATATATAGAGATTAAAAATATTTCATGTTTTTGCGTTTTTGCAAATTAGGGCATGTCCTAGTCGGGCACTGCAGACTAAAGCACGCCGTCTTGTTTCTTGGGCAGCGTTGAAGACTAGGAATGGCAGTCAACTTAAAATTGGCAAACAACGAAAAGCCAACACAAATCGTTGTTCAGCAATTGCAGCACACAAGAGCTCAGGTGCGTCGTAAGGAGCGTGGGAAGGGGGCGACACTCAGGTGTGTAATTGCAATTCGAATTGGTCAAGTGTAACAATGTAAAGACGCCAATGCAGTGGAGACACTGACAGTACACACACACACACACACCCAACAAACTCGCTTCGCTTGCCACCTACACACACGTACACACACATATATATGTATAAGCAGAGCGCCGACGACGTTGGAATCAATTGGATCCATGAACTTATGCAGCCAACAACTGGAACTTTGTTGCCGGCCGACCGGACGACATGGCGGTGGAGGAAGAAGAAAATCAAATTGCAAATTGCAGTGAAGTGTCACGTGCATGGACACATTTTTGGGGCCGTTGCCAGGAACCGATGCCCCGTTGTGTAATGTCGTGACATTTGGGCGCGCTTTTGCCCTTTCACATGAAGTTGGGTTATTGCAATCGCCGCCAAGGCAATCAATGCCACAGACATGAACTCCCAAAGTGCATGTGTTATACTAGTGCAAAGCTCACTCACACTCACACACACACACACACACACACACACAGATAGTAAGGACAAAACACATGCACCTGCGTCATGCTGCACTTTTCGCTGCTTCTTTCCGGGCGGCTAACCATTCATTATGTTGACCACGCTGTCACATTTGCTACGTGACATTTTGCTAAATGCCCTCAAAAAATGGAAGACAGAGTCAAAGCATTGTCAGCTGCAAAAGCAAGCCAAATTTCCACCCCATTCCAAGCTCAGACAGCATAAAAAAAATATAACTTTGTCGTGCCGGCGGCACTCTAGAGTTTTAACTAAAAACGATCGCTGTATCAATTCTTATATATATTTCATCTATCTATCCATTAGAAAAGGTGGAATAAAACGCTGCTAAATGGATTGGCAATGGTGAAATAAAAAGCTTCATTAGGAGCAAGGTATATTACAAATACAGCTTCATTTAAGAATATTGTTTGAATTAAGAGAACGTTTACTTATTTTTATAGGAATTATATTAAAAACATTGGCATGAAACGCTTCGTTTAGATGCATCTAAAGAATAATGAAATGAAAAGTGGCATATTTCAAAAATTCGTTGAAAGGAAAGCTTCAATTGCAAAACGTGGAATTGAACCAATTACCAAGAAATATCTGTTTGAAACAGTGGAAATAGTTAAGTATTGAGCTTGGATTTCAGCATAGATATTAATTTATCAATAATTATCCATAAGTAATTTTATATTTTTGGATGTTTTTTCCGTTACTTATTACTCATCTTTAGATACTCCGTTTTATGGGTAATCACCGTTGCGCCTTGGAAACGTGAGCTTGACTTGAATTGGCCTTGTCGGGCGCTAATCGTCATCAACCGTTGGACCGACGTACTGCAGAATTGTTGCAGTACTTGATTGGGAAATTAGTGAGTGGCAGCAGTTGGCTGCCATTTGCTGGTGTGGGCGCCTCGGCATATCCATGTGATATATGTTAGTATTCTTGTGGCAGATTCGGTCAATCGCATTGCCATTACAATATACAAAGTTATGGCAATGATACTCTGGAGGAATTCCGAGCCCTGCATTGCAGTGCAGTTCAAGTTGCCTTTTGAGCTGTTGAGGATTTGTATCGAGATTGCTGCACAGTCAGCTTCAAATTACAAGCAAATAAAGGGCCCGGCAACATGGAGACCCAACCACCCACCACATCCCGCAATGCCCGGCCAGAGTTGAGTTATGAACGTGCTGGGAACAGGAAGCGCAACGAATCAAAGCCAGAGGCAACAAACCCAACACCAGTGGCTAGCACACAGTACAGGGTAGAGAAGGTAAAGTAAATGTGCAAACATTTATTTATGTGCCAGCCATGGAGCACTTTAAGGCACTTCAATTGCCCTGATTTGCCCAGCCACTAGGAGCAGCAGCAGTTGCAGCTGCAGCTACGGGGATTTCCCCGCTTCGTAACCCAAACAAATGCTGTTCGAGTGGATGCTGGACAACGCTTACAAATGACACTAGGCTAGCGTCTAGTGTTGCTGCCAGTTTGAATATGCATGCGTCTGTCTGCCTGTCTGTCCATCTGTTCTGTCAGGTAGTTTTGCCAATTCAAATTTCAAATTTGTCGGGAATTTGCAATTGCATTCTTGCCCATGCCCTTAAGCCAACCCCTGGCTATTGCCAGCGTGTGGCCCATGTGGCGTATCCTATGCGCACCTCATCTTCTCCTCCCTTTAGCGGCTTGCATTCCACAGCAATCGAAAATGGAATTAAATGTTTTGCAAACACTTGAACGCGTTTGCCTTGTCGGGGAGCAAACCCAACAACCAGCAGCAGCGTTTTCACAGGATATAAATTAAATTTTATTGCCAACTTTGGTCCGTTTGCGCTGTAAATTGTGATGGATTCCCTCCATTCGGCTTGTTCTATATTTCCAACGCGGCAACATAAAGGCACATACATATATATTAGTGTGCAAACTGATGAATAGCAATTACCCGTAAAGTGTGGGCAGTATTGTGCATCGCTGTACTGCAGTTGGATTTAATTGTAATGTGGGCAAGGCTACAAAATTAAGGATCAAATTGGAAATAAGTCACAATAACTGCGGCCGTAGATGTATGCTTCAGTGTATTTTTCTATATTTATCTATTCATTTATATTCTGGAACGATAAATAATTCTTAAATATTATTCTTTACTCTCAATAACCAAACACAAGAAAAAGCAATGATTGCTGGAGTTGAATCACTAACTTCTCGCTTGTTAGTTCGACGCCCAGAAACCGAAGTCTCCAAGATCATGACGTCACGTTTGCAAAGCCCCCATATATATCAACAGAAGCATTTACTAGCGCAAATATCATGATTCGTGAAACAGTGACTTTCAGTTTTAATGAGCTCTTGAGAGTATTTCATTTCTTGCGTTGCTTTAATTAACAAAAAATGTTTCATTACCAAACAAGAGAAGGGCACGAAATGAGAAACCTTCGTCCAAAGAAGACATATGAGCCACAGACGTGGCACATTTAAACTGGCTGCTGTCTGCTGCCAAGGAACACAAGAGCAAATAAAAAGTCGCCACTAAGTAGTGTTTTCTTTTTGCAAATGTTGTCCATTTCTCCCTGTCTCGCGTCCGTTTTCTGGCACTGGCCCAGGCCCTGGCTATGCTGCAAAGGGTAAAGGGTGAAGGGGAAGGAGTTGTTGCACTTGGCGTTAAAAAAGCGGAAAATCGCAGCACATTTTTGCCTTTTAATTAAGCCCTCCATTTTTTATGTGCCTTTCGAAAGCGACACGGCGTGATTTCATGCGAGAAGTGTGAGAATAGTTTATTTTTCACCAGAGCCCAAAGCATTGCCCAGATTGCAAAATGGCAAAATAACGTGCGTGCAAAGGCCAGAGGAATGCAACGGTTAATGCAGGTCCTGCTGCCCAAATGAGACTGTGAAGAGTATGCCGAAAGGTTTAAATGGAATGTAATGCAGAACTAAGGGCGTAATTGAAGGGCCAAGAGAACGCCATGACTACTGAACAGGTTTAATCACACATATACACAATTTACTTGTAAAGAAGATGACGTTTATTTGTTGCTTAAAATTCTTCTCGAACTAAGCACTTTTTGTGTGTCTCTATCATGACTGTATTAACCTATATTTGAACCAATTAATTTAATTAATTTACATTTGCGCTAAATACATTTTTTAGTAGAATATGTGCCCCTTACGTAGATACAAATAGAACATGCTTACACCCATTATTAATTTGTTAATCTTGAAAATTATGAAAATATAAAAATTTAAGCTTTAATATTTAATCGTTAGTAAAATATGAGTATTAAGAAGAGAAAATAAACGATTGAAGTCAAATTATAAATTTAGTATAATATATGCAATTACAAGTACCTTCTATTTGTATGGTCAAAATTTAGACAAAGAACTGTTTGCGACGACTGATATATGTATGTATATACTATACACTTATTGGGGAAAGGTTCAAGAATTATAAAAAGAGCTGTTTATGGTATGTTGCATTCAGTTAACATCGGTGTGCACAGCTGAACGGACGCGTGTGTACATTAGAGAGATATCTGTTAGTTAATTTGGATGCTTGACACGATCGTTAAGCGAGCACGTAGCGAGCTTGACAAATTGATAAACTGAGCGAACAGTTTGATAGCGGCTGCAGGTGAGCATTTATGGAAGTCAATTTTTGGCTTTGCTTTTAAACTGGTTTTAGGAACTCAATAACACGATACTGCAAAGTTACGGGACTGTAGTTGACCAGCTTGAATCCATACACCTTATAAAAGTCGACCAACCAGCCCTGTGAATCTGCGTCAGATTTGGTTAGCTCCTTGCGCAGCGTCAATAGAAACTCACCCAACACAACGCGTCGATGTGTTGGTGCAATTTGCTCTGGTATCTGTGATTGCTGCAGCACCTCTTTAATTTGCTGCAACATCTGCTGCTGCTCACCATAGGTGGCAAAGTCACGCATATCACGCAATCCGATAAAAACAATGTCCGCATAGACATAGTTGCGTCCATCTTCGCACTGCCGCTGCACGGAAACGGGCGCTACTTGGCACAGATGCTGGCTCTCAAACCGCACCAGTTTCGTATATTGCATCTTCCGTTGGCTATGTGTAAGCCCGTAAATGGCGCAGGCGCCCTGATCTGTGCAACAGCCGCGTATGCGGCTCCAGTTCGCCTGATGCACCGCCTCGATCATCATGGTGGCCGCCTGTCTAGCACCCACCAAAAAGTCAAATTCATCAAACTCACGGCCGAGCAGACGCCTCAATTTCCACATGCAATAGCGGGAACGCAGACCGCTGAGCCAAAGCATCAGCGCCGATTTCCAGCCTTGTTGACGCTGACCCAGGTAACTTAATGCTCGATTTTGGGGCAGTGAGCGTACCGAATATTTAATGTAAAAGCAACATTTTGTTCGATTTGGAAAGATATAATGCGCCAAAAGGGAGCGCACTGGCTTAAACATTTTATTTACAAAATAAATATGAAATAATTATAAAGGCCGAAATGTGACAGTAAACAAACATAAATTTGATTCACATCCCTCAATGTTACCTTGTTAAGCCATGTTTATTCACACAGAGCGGAGAAAATAAAGAACTTCGTCCTTTTAGCGTCTAGAACCTGTCGTAAAAACACCTTAACACTGATAATACTTTCAAGTACGACTCTTTAAGTACGAATAACCTTGTATCCAGTTTTTTCTGTTCTGTTTTCAATCGAGCTCGTTGTAAGAACAAAAGAGTTTTAATAATGAGTTAAAAAACAAACAAACGAACGAGATTCGTTGTATCGATTCGGCTGTTGATACTGATCAAGAATATATATACTTTAAGGGGTCGCAGATGTTACACATTTCGAGACAAAATTAGAATACCCTCCGCAAGGATATAAAAATGATCACCAGAACTTTAATGATCACTAGTTGCATCTTAAAATAAAGCTAATTAACCCTAAATTAAGCCTGATAAGTGCAATGAAAATAGTTGCATATGTGGCCAAATCGCTTTTGTCATTAGAAACTAAAAGCTTAGGCTTACTGGCCTAATCTAGATTTCTCGGTGTTTTTAGGGTAAGGATCACAAAATGTCACGTGCAGATTGCTGAGTATCTAATCCAAGCATTTTCTCAATTTCTGAGACGAGTGTTAAGGTATTTCTTTCATTCCAAAGTTAGAAGCTCTTCTCTTTTTTTAACGCAGCATGCGAGAGTTGTCATACTACTTGGTAAGCCTCTTGCTAGCGACTGGAGTGCTATCTAGCTACAATGCCTATCGTTTACCCACGGCTCTCAAGCCCCAACACTATGATCTCCGCATACTGACCCACTTGACTGGGCCTGACGAGCTGCGATTCGAGGGTCGCGTAAAAATCGATTTTCAAATACTGCAAGAGACAAGGAATATTACGCTTCATGCCAAGAATTTGACCATAGATGAGGCAAACATTAGTTTGACATCGCTAAACGGCAGCAATTACAGCATCACAAACATTGAGGTAAATGAAAAGTGTGAATTTTACATAATGCATCTCGCTGAGAAACTACAGCTCACTGAGCGCTACCGGCTGATCATGCCCTTCAAGAGTATGTTGAATGCAAATGATACGGGCTACTACTGTAGCTCCTTTGATGATTCAGTGACAAAGCAAGCACAGTGAGTTTGCAGCTATATAAACAAATGACTGGCGTCTAATGTTTTGACTTTTGCTTACAGCTACTTGGCAGCAACTCAATTCTCACCGACTTATGCCCGGACTGCATTTCCGTGCTTCGATGAACCGCATTTGAGGGCAACGTTCAGGGTTACACTGGGCTATCATAAAAACTATACAGGACTAAGCAATACACCAGTGAACAAATGTGTAGTACAGTAAGTTTTAGTTATTAGTTAATTCCAGAAGGTGTTTCTTGAGGTAAACCTCTTCTTATTCTAGTGACACGCTTGAGGATTATGTTTGGTGCGAGCATGAACCTCTTTTGAGTACGTCCACCTACCTGGTGGCCTATGCCGTGCACAATTTAACTAGCGTACCAGCCCGGCCAAGTGACACTGTGCATAAAGTCACCTTTCGCAGCTGGATGCAACCGAAGGTCGTTGAGGAAAGCAGCTTCCTGGTGGAATTCGCACCAAAAGCCTTGAGTTATTTGGAGAGACTTTTGGAGTATACGTTTCCATTGCATAAGGTTGATCAGCTGGCGCTGCCAACTCACAAATTTAGTGCCATGGAGAACTGGGGTCTGGTCACGTTCAAGCAGAGCCATTTTGTGCACAACGATGAGGTGGAAATGCAGCAGACAAAAGAGAATAAGGCAAGCACCGTGGCACATGAATATGCACACCAATGGTTCGGTAATTTGGTAGCCATTAAATGGTGGAACGATCTTTGGCTTAAGGAGGGACCTTCCACATACTTCGGCTACTTGACTCTGAAATCTCTGATGCCTGAATGGGGCAGTTTTGAGCGCAGTATTGCAAATGATTTGGCTCTATTCTTTTATCAGGATATGTTTAACGACACAATTGCAATTTCACGCTCTGTGAACGATTCGAAAAGCATTTTGGAACAGTTCACTCCGTATGTGTACAAAAAGGGTTCCCTGACGATACGCATGCTGCATATGTTGCTAGGCAACGATGTTTTTTTTACAGGCATACGCAACTATGTGGATCGGCACGCTTATGACAGTGTTGCACAGTCTGATCTCTGGCAGGCGATGCAGGAGGCTGCGGTTGTCAAGGGCACCTCGGCTGCTGCCATACCTCTGTCCACTGTCATGGACTCTTGGACACTGCAAAGGGGTTATCCGCTTGTGAGCGTGATTAGGAACTATACAGCAGGTTTTGTACGGGTTAATCAAACCCGATTTATGCTGGCAACTGCTGGCGAAGATAAAAACGATGAGAGCTGCTGGTGGATTCCGCTCACGTTTGTTAACCAACTGCATGGAGATTTTGAGCAAACACAACCACAGTTTTGGCTCGAATGTCCCGGTGCTGAGAAAACCGTACAGTTAATCAATATCCCATCTCCTGACGAATGGCTTATGCTGAATCCACAAGTGAATTCCATCTACCGTGTCAACTATGATGAGCGCAATTGGCGCATGATCATCGACACCCTAAATTCCGACGACCACTTTCGCGATATTCATGTGCTCAATCGAGCACAGCTGGTGGATGATCTTTTGGCACTGGCGTCGACAAAGCATCAGAGCTATGAGCTGGCATTCAGAATGCTGGAGTATCTGCCGCGGGAGCGCGAACTTTTGCCCTGGAATACAGCTATTGAGGTGCTTAACAAGCTTGGTGCCTTGTTTCGCGACGAGATGGCGATGAAATTTAGGGTGAGCTATTTGAGGAATTTAATTTAGAGTCCTGGATAATCGTCGACTTACGGTTAACTTGATCGAGTTTCCTATTTTTTTGATGGAAATTAATTAGCCGATGCAGGGCTCTAATTCAAAGATATGAGATCTGGTTTTTACTAGTCTTTCCATTGCAGCTCTTCATGAGGAAGCTTGTTGCACCACTTTACGGACGCTGTCCCCAAATAAACTCAGTAGAGTTAAGAACCAAGTCGAGTCCATCTATTGCTGTATATCGTTTGGCTTATAATCAGGCCTGCCGCTACGGCGTGGACGACTGCGTCAGACAGGCCGTGCGATATACGCAAGGAACTGAGTACGGCACGGAGGTGCCTGTTAATTATAGAGATATTATGTATTGTACGAGCATTGGACAGGGCAACGATATGCTGTTTCATTTTGTGAGGGAACGCTTTCAAAACTTAACTGCTGATGCAATAAAGGAAGCCTGGGCAACAGAGCTTGGCTGCAGTCCTGATTTTAGCCAGTTGCAATCGTTTTTGGACTATTTACTGCAAGCAACGGATAAAACCACATATAGTTATTATATACAAGCCGTTACTTCAGCACTGCGCCGTCAACATGTGGCACCGGAGACCGCAGACCACATTCTGAAGCATGCCACAATACTCAAGTAGGTGATTGTTCAGCTTGATAAGGAACTAGTTTAATTTTTAACTATATATTGCAGTAACAAATTCAGCAGCAAAGAAATTAAAATGTTGCTCTTAACAATAATTGGCAATTCGTATACCGAACTTGAGGAGCATCAGTTGAGGCAACAATTGAAGGGCTTAAGTAAATTCGAGGAGCATCTACGGGAAGCGTTTAATATGCGTGCAATAAATCGAGATTGGCTAACGCAACGTGCCGAATATTTTATTAGAGCTTTAAGCAAATATCTTTAAGACTCATACAATAGTAGCTGTGTGGCTGCTAATTGTAGCTGCTTTGATTCTGAGAACGATAAAACTAGCTGAACTCGAACACTCAACAACTTTTTCTTATGTCAAATTCAAGTGTGCTGACACGCTGCTGCTCAACATCTAAACATCTTTGGTATTAATTAAGCCAACAGTGATGAAATCTTGGAATTGAAATTGAAAGGAATGAAGACGATGCAGGCACGCAGCGCCACCTTTTACTTGCCGCCAACGCCAACGATAACCGCCCAGCTTTACTGGCATTCGGGGCATCCTGCTGTTTGTCCTGTCAGAAACTTGCCTTGTGCCGTGCCTTTGACTTGTAAATTGCTTGACACGGGGCACGACACACACACACGCACACGCATCCACACACATACATCCGCACACACGATTTGCTTTGTTTGGCATGCGACTTCGCTTGGCGTTTGACGTTTACACGAAGATGACAAAATGTTTCGCTGTGTGCCCTGGGCATGACATAGGCAGATGATGTGGCCTGTCCTCTGCCTGCATGGGGCAGGCAGCAGGCAGCAGGTTGAAACAGTCAACTGACAGCATATTAGTTGTGCCTGGCATAATCTGCCTTATTTTGTAAATCCTCTTTTATATCCTTATATCCGGGCAATTTGTTGAATTAGTCGAAACGTATTCAATTGCTTCGATATAAAAACCTGGACAAGCAACTGCAATGTATTTCGAGTGATATGCATATATCGAATATATTGTATATATATGAATGATATTCTAGCTGGGAATTATAGCTGTTTTCGTTCAAATTTCAATTAAAATTTCAAATGGATTACAGCTTAATTTAGCGTTAAATTTAAATTTTATTAACCAGTTACCATAAAAACGTTTGACCTTATTTAAGTTACACTAAAAAATATTTTCATAATTTTAGAAATTCTCAAATATTATTCTTAATATATGAAAATTATTATACCAAAAAATTCTTTAGGAACATGATTTCTGTGACATCGATAAAAGGTTTTTTCACAAAGATTGCCTGGTATATCTTAGTATATATACATACAATATAGTATGCCAAGTATATCTTAGAGAAGAACGTTCCCATCAAGAAAAACTATAACCTTATATATATTTTCTCAAATATAACCTTTCAATTATTTTAACCTTAAATATATTCTTACAGTATATGCATATTGCCCGGCAGCCCTTTACAACGTGCCCTTAAAATAGATCTATTACCATTTTTTTGCTTCATCAATTATAGTGTGCAAATGAAAAGTGGCCCAATCAGAAAATTAACGTTATTAATGTTCTTAAAAAAAATGGATATTAAATTAATTAAATGTGTGATGTCAGGATATATTCGTACTCGCGCGACTGTGTGTGTGTGTGTGTGTGTGTGTGTGAGTAAATGATTTTAACAAAAAGTGACATGCGAAATTATGAATGCTTCATATTTGCCATCGCAACTTTTACTTATTTATTTATTATAAATTAATTGAACGACAACACGTGAATGTGACACTTTAATATTATTTGCGTGTCAAATTATCAGTTTGTAAACAGAAAGCCACCGACAGGTATTCCAATTTATATAAATATTGTACTCTCTGAATTCGCAATTTGAATCTGCGGTGGGCCGCAGCATACAAATTAATATAAATATGAACATACTGAGAATGTTGTTATTGTACAAAATTATCGACAATTGAAAATGATTTAACATGAGATAATAATGTTGATAAGGGATTAATCTGTTGAATTATTCTTCAGTTACAGGCCTGATGAATAATTAGTATTTATAGTATCAGAAGAAAGTCCGAAAGTCCGCTGTCGCTTACGACAAATGAATAATGATGAAAAATCGAATGGGGCCGAATAAAAACAAAGCTAAAAACTTAATATTTCTGCTGAATTTTGTTTTAGCGACTTGCCGCGTGTCAGTTCAACTCAAGGACCTTTGTCCCACAGGTGCAAGAAGCTAAGTTTTTTGTTAATATTTTCCACATGGACATTGTCAACGTTTTCTTTTACTTGTAGGTTGAATTTTCCAAAACCTCGTCTTGCTACTCAACAGGAGGCTCTGTACTCAGTTCAGCTTCGTAGTTCTTTGAACGGTGTGTAGATCCCCAAACAGAACGTCAGGAAAAATTCTTATTAATATATCAATATGCTCATAAGTATAAGTATGTATTTTTATATATATGTAAAAATGTTTTACCTATGTGCCTCTTATGGTTAAGCATTAAGTGCATTACCATAAATCAATCGCAATTCAGATTCGCGAGCTTCCTGCTGCTGCTGCAGTTTCTGATTCAGTTTTGAATGATAATTAATATGCATAGAGTGTCGTCTGCCAAGATAAGGATCAAATTATGAAATAAGGCATTAAAATTGAATTTCATTGCGTGCCTTGTGGGTCGACGGTCATTAGCATATTGCTTGCTGATTTGCTGGCCATTAGAAAATTGCCTAATTAGCTCTAATTGATTAGGAAATGCTTGGCTCGTATCGTTCGATTATTTGTTGTAGTTCATTGTAATTCAATTGGGACGACCTGATGCATGAGTTGTCGCTCCACCTGCAAGTGCCTGCTTTGGCCAAAAAGCGCGTTCATTCCAATTATGGCCACACCTGGCGACGCAGCTCTGAAGCCAACGCACTGGATTTAACTTTTGTTGTAAATTTTTCAGCTTGTTTGCTGGCTGAGCGCCCATTTAGTTGCATGTTTATGTTTCTTATTCTTCTTCTACTGCTGTGCCATTTGGTGAACGCCGTAAATTCAATGGGGGGAAAGGAAAAACGAAACAAGAAAATGTTGCTTGTTTTAATAGCACCAAGAAAATAAATTCATTAAAAAAGTTTTTGCGAGCATTGCAACAATGCGAATATTAAATGCAAATATAAATACATCTATGTATATACAACTCATCTGTATACATATGCACACGTATCTATATGGAATATCGATTTATAGTTTCATTTATTTTGACTTCTCTTCTCATTTTGTTTTTTTTTTTTTTTTTGCTGTGCCTTTATCAACGTCATTAGAAACAAAACTTTACTCTGCATTTATTGCTTCCTTCCCAGTTTTGTTTGAATTTTGCAGGACATGCAACTGTTACTGTGCTCCTTTGGTCCTTTGTGCTGCTGCCGCCAGGCAGACGCATTCACAGAAACTTCCCACAAAAGCTGCAGTAACAGCAACAGCAACGAATCCAAAAACTTGCATCTGGTCGCAGTTGCGACCAAGCAGCAAGAGTCCTAAAGGTAGATGCAGCAACTTCTTCTTCTTCTTCTTTTTCTTAGATGGTAAACTTGCAAATTTAGATTACAAGCACAATTGCCACACATGTTTGCACAAATGCTGGCAAGATTGTTTAATTTCGTTTAATTAAATTGCAAATATTTTACACTAGTTGCAGCATTTTCCTGGCGGCCCTTAAATTTTCGAGGCAGCAGCTGCTGACCAAAAGCCAGCTGCTGTTTTAATCTTTTTCATGAACGGCAACTTAGAAGTGCATAATTTGTCTCACAGCGGCTGCAACAGTGAATACGCCTGCTAAAAAAGCGGTATAACTTAATTAACTTCAAATTGAACAATTGCTAAGATATTCTTGAGATTCTGAATGGCCTGAGACTCGAAATAGATTTGTTAAATAAGAATATTGAAATAAGAATACTGCACGACGAAGATTTAATACCCTTGCAGATCCAATCTTTTCATAGTGCCCATAATGCTTTACCCGTATCTGAGAAGCACACGGAAAGGAGTTGTCTATATTCTTGAATTCTAGAGGCAATGCGATTATTATAATGGCACTTATTGGCCAACCACATAATGTATCAAGCATATTTTAGCCTTTGCTGTGGTTGTGTACTTTTGTATTTCATTCAAATGTAAATTCAATTTTAAATAGATTGGCAAGTTGACGGCTTTCGGTTGACCACTTCAAAGGCAGTTGAGGGGATGCACGCTCACTGAGCATAACCTTGAAACTATATGGAAAGCTAAAATAAATCCACATCCACAACCCCACCGCAACACCTTAGAAAACAACCTCAGACAAAAGTGGTGCCTGCCAGCATAGCAATAACATTGGCAACAAAAACACGCACAACGGCCAACACCGTCAAGTTCAAAGCGCCAGTTTTTAAGTGCCTGTCATTGTTGTTCTTGGTGTTGTGGTTGTTGTTGTTTTTATTGGCCCTGTTGCTGCTGCTGTTCCTGCTGCTGCTGCTGTTTACTCAGGTTTCTGCAGGTTTTGCGCAAGACCCGCTCGTTCCCACACTGCCAAAAAGAAAAACACTTTTAGCACGCATCGAAGGGGAAAACCAATAGAGCAATGCTTGAAGGGACGCGACCAGGCAACAACTCGGGACCATCTCGAAAATCAACTCGACAACCATTAGGACAAATAACGCCACAAATAAAATGAGTGGATAGCACAGGACATCAGGTGCCTTGTTGTTGCTCTGAGGCTGACAACAAATAGCTACTTAAATAACTAGCGGGCTAGATAAGTGCTTTTATTTCGGTTTCAAATATTTTCCAAAAACATAAAAATAATTGAGGCGCTTGCGTAACGATAATGTTTGCTATTTGAAAAAAGCTTGCACATTTTCTCTGTTGGAAGATAGTCGATACTTCTATACTTCTATAAATACTTTTTCTTAATATATTTAAAGTTTTATTAGGAGGATTCTCACTTGCCTTTGTGAAGATGATCAGCTGTGTGAATTGTCAAGATTTGATATACTATGAAGCCTTGGGCTTTCAGTTATGATTATAAGTGCAGTCTAAGATTCGTACCGAACACAAGTGCCCATCTGACTGGATATATGCATAATCCAAAAATCACAAAATTTAGACTTAGCGCCTGAGCTTATGCAACAAATTCTGAGGCTTAAAGAGGCACATTTTCAACGACAGCCCGAAAGCAGGTCACAAATTTTTAAGTGAATCAATTTTGGATTGTTCTGTAAAATTTGATTTGGAGTTAACTACAATTTATCCGTGCTGAAAACTGCGCTTAAATTAAGTTTTCTTTATCTTATTTGCGGTTCTGATAAATTAATGGCAAGCACTTTGGTAATA